GGGCGGCCTATAAATTATAATAAACACTCTAAACACTCTAAACACTCTAGATTACCAACAGCATCTAAGATGTATAACTATGAATCAACTGAGAAGAATGATTTACATCATTTTTTCCCCAACCACATGTATTGGATTTCAATTTCTATCATATCAGGAACATTAACTGAGTTGCTAATCCTTGATCCTTAAGTATCCCATAATGTTTTGGCACCAGTGGGGAAAAGGGAAGAAATGACCCCCCCCAAAAAACAACAATCATGTATGATAAAATATTCATGCAAATGCCAGAATTTGTGTGTGTGTGTCTGTGTGTCTGTCTGTCTTTTATTATTTTTATAAATAACTTAAGGCAGCAAACATACCAAATATTCCTTACTCCTCCTACTTTCCCCATAATACCAACCCTGTGAGGTGGGTTGAAAAAGAATGATTGTCCCAAAGTCACCTAGCCAGCCTTCATGCATAAGGCAGGAGTAGAACTCACTGTCTCTCAATTTCTAACCTGGTATCTTAACCATTAGACAAACTTCGCTCTCTTACAAACTTAAATAGACAATAGGGGGCAACTACATATGGTACTAGGGTATTTGAATAATAATGTCATTATGTCTGTGTTGTCAATTGGGAAAAATGCAGTTTGCTGCAGATGTCACTGATACAGTGGCACGCTGTATATTGAGGGCTGGATCTGAAAAGCAGTTTCTACTTAGAACATGAAGCAGCTAAACATATTCTTTCAAAATGTGTTCCTCCACAGTTACAGAAACAGGACTTATCCCTGTTTATCCCTTGAATTCTGTCCTATGCAATGCATCAAAAATAGTTTCCATTAAACTCTCAAGGCTTATTCAGAGTAAGTGTGCATAGAATTGCAATCTGAATAGCTTAGAAGCAGTGAAAAGATACTTTAAAAAGCACACCCCATAAACAAATCACACATATCCCAGAGAACTTTGGAAGAGCTTCTAAATATCTATCAACAAAAATGAAAAAGAAGAAAATGGTTTCTGAAGTAATAGTGAACAAGTATCCTACTTTGTGGTCCACATCAATGAATATCTGGGTGGATGAACTTAATAGTACATCAATAGCAATTCATTTACTTCACAGGAAGGCAGCATTCATGGCATTGCCAAGCACAAAACATTTGAAAATCTAACCCTAACCCACCTGCAACATCTTGGAGAGTTCCCAGCAAGAAGAGAGCTTGCTCTATGTTTCAAAGTAGTTTAAATTTTCTTACTCCTAATAGTGATCTTAACTTCTATCCTGTCCCTGTGAAGCAGGTCTCTTTGTAAGGGACACATTTTTATCTGAATATTTGTATTTCACTGAGGTTCTCTTATTTCCAGATGGATTCTTAGTTGCTTCTGGCATGAGGCCATAAGTAAGCATGAAATATTTAATTGAGAATGTACCAGTTCCCAGACAGGTTAAAGGAGTTTCAGTCTGTATATAAGATTTTGGTTTGGGTGATCTTCACAATATGAAGTTCAGGACTTATTTGGTATTTCCTCTTTGAAGCTAATATTCTGATAGTTGCTCAAATCTATCAGAGCCAATGGAAACTGGACCAGGAGAAAAATGCTATGAATGGTCCACAGAATGTATAACTTTATGGCATTCTTTGCATTGTAATATAATTTGTTTGGTTGTACATAATTTGTAAAGTTTAAAATATTATTATTAACAAAACAAGATTAAACACACCATAGTTTGAAATAGTAATAAATGAAACCTCTATGCTGTTTGAACACAGCACAATGTATGCATATGAACAGGTTAGGTATTTTAATGGGTTTTAATATTTGTCTTTCCCAAAATATATCTTAAAAGACAAGATGAATTATTTTCACTGTCATTTTCCTTGCACTCATATAATTCTTCTATAGATGGATGTTTTCCTTATTACTTGAATGACTAGTGAGTCTGATTTTCAGCTGGGACACAATCAAACTGAGTTTATATGGAAGGATATCTTGTAATTATGTATGTGTGTAATTTTGTCCTAGAGGTGAGCATTTTTTCCTAATATTAAAATCTTTAAATAGTGGGATGACAGGATCATATCAGTGTGCACATGTGGTGACATCATGAAGTTGTTATAGGTATGAAAGCATTATAAATATGGTAAAATAACAGACCTGCATAAGATATTTTTTTCCACTTTTACTAGGAAAACAGAATATCATCTTGAATGTTGCGAAAAACCAGGTCTATAAAAAGCAAAATTGTGTTGCATCTCAAATTGCTTTTAACCTATTTTTTTAAAGTAATAGCTTTTTCTATCCTCCTCCACCAATTCTGTGAAGTATAGATAATTGTAGTGTGTACACACACACACACACACACACAC